GAGCGAGCGATGAATTCCACACCGTTTCTCACTCTGTTGGTGTCAAGCTTTCACAGACACGCGTGACGTATTTTTCACCCCCTGCTCGTCTCACTCACTCTGTCACCGTGCGCTCTTTTCTCCTTCCCTCATCTCTCCTCTTAGCCTCCATCCCTCTCTCCATAGCCTGAGGCCCCTGCTATTTAATTACACTGCCACTGTATCAGATTACTGAGGAGGAACATAAACTCACTCAGTGTGTGTGTATGTGTGTGTGAGAGAGAGAGAGAGAGGGAGCGAGAGAGAGAAAGGGGAGGGTGTTGCAGTTTTTAGAGCTGTATCTAGCCCGGCTCATATAAGTGTTTTCATGTAATCCATTTAAAGACAAGAGTCATGAACAAGTGCAATTTTCAGGCTCGGTGTCAGCATACCAGCGTGCGCTCACAATGCCAAAAGTAAAGTGTCATTGTTCATGAAGCCTTCAAACTAAGGCACACACATATCCAATGATGCCAAACCCCTGCTAGCAGAGTCACCTTGACACAACTGCAACAGCAAACAGCAGGACAAGAGCTGCAAATCTCAACATTTGACTTGTAAAGTTGACATAGAAGAAATGAATGGGATGGCACAGTGCTCCCCCTGTGGCTGCATTGGTTCTCACCGCGTGGTCTGGTGGCCTCCCACAGTCTGGAGACTTACACGTTACAGTAACTGGTGATAGTAAAGTGAATGTGTGTGGATGGTTATCTGCAGTGTTGCATGTAATGCATTCCCGAGCAACGCAGTGCTTTTTATAGTTCAATGTAATGTGCGAGACAGTTTTAGTGAAGTTACATTTTTCAGTAGTGCAGTGTCGTAACAAGTTACTGTACTACACTCACTAATTTTATACAGTTACAACCATGCTGTTGCTTATATTCTTCAGTTACTGGCAAGAGAGGTGCATGGAAAGAAAAAAAATAACAAACATGCCTTTTTCTTACTCCACTTGTGCTACAATCGACTGACTTTGGTTCATGTGCAGGGAGGAGGAAAATGGTAAAGCAGAGTACAACATGTGAGGAGTGGAGATATGGACATTGCTTTTATCTTTAATCCATGAAAGGACAAGAACACAATGGTAAAGTGCAACCTGCACCCAGGAGTGGTAACACAACTTCAGCTCTTTGGAAACATCTGCACAGACAGCATGCTAACACAAAGCTAGTGAAGAACCGAGAGTGATGTTAATGCTGAGTGTCTGGCAGCCCAGCAGCCAGAACCTGAACTTCAACAGGTAAAAAACACAATGATGAGCAGTCAAGCTGGCAGCTTTGTAGCCTTGATGTCTATTCACACCTGTTTCTACAGTACAATTACTGTGGTGATCACTTTGAAGTCTCTCCGAGCTGGTTTTTCAAATTTGCATTGTGTTGCCAGTTTTCTGCTCATACATAAACACTAAAAGAACACATTGTTTTTTATAAGATAAGAGGTACAAGGTCCTAAACCCTAAGGTTATTATTGTTAATTGAGTAACAGTGCATTTCACATGTAATGGAGCAACGCAAAAGTAATATAATGAGTAGTCTAACAAATTACTTTCTCCAGCAAATAATTAAGTAACATACTGCATTACTTTAACAAAAGGAAAGAAGAACATCGAATAATTACTTTATTCAGTAACAATCCCAACACTGGTTATGTGCCTGTGGTTGCTTAAATAGCAAAAAGCAATTATTAGTCTGTAAACAGAATTAAAAACAGTCCAAAATGTGAAGTAACACAAAGTGCAAACTAACAATAATCAAAAACACCAAACGCTAGCATTATAGTAAAATCTAAAAGAAACCCCAAAGACACTGAATAGAAATATAACGTACTAAAAGAAAACTCCACAACAACACATGACATAGAACAATCACATCCTCTCTCTCGCTTAGTGTCCGTCACCCAAAGTTAAAGAAGCAGTTAAGCTGAGACACTAAGTGCTAAACATGTTTTGCTCAGTCTCATTTTGAGTCTTTTTTCAGAGAAAACGATGTTAGTGCAAATTAATACATTAATAATAATATAATATCTAATTTTGACATTTAAACGTCACATTTAGGAAAACCTGTAATACTGACATAACATGTGGACAAAAGTATTGGGTCACACCTCTTAATCTTAGAATTCAGGTATTTTTAGTCTCGTTGCCACAGGTGTATGAAATCAAGCACTCAGCCATGCACTCCATTTACAATCAGTTATGAAAGAATTGGTCGTTCTAAAAAACTTTGAGCATGTGATGGCTGCCACTGGTTAAACAAGTCAGTTAGGGAAATTTCCTTCCTCCTAGATTCTCCAACTCTAAGCAGTATTATTGCAATGTGGAGGCGCTCAGGAGCCACAGCAATTCAGCCATGGCGGGGTCACCGAGTGCTGAGGTGGGTAAAGGCTCCAACACTCTGCTGACTCAATCACTGCAATGCCCCAAACTTCCTCTGACATTAACATCAGCACAAAAACTGTGTGCTGGGAGCTTCATGCATTTCCATGGCCGAGCAGCCATACAGTGTGCACCGAACAGTTCCTCCTGTCTATATCCTGAAGCTTTTTCTGAGGTATTTGTTCTTAGTCTTTATTTATTCATAGCTTTATTTATACGACAGTTTATTCCTACAAATATAGTGGAATTTGACAATTATTAGCTGTCTGGTGGGAGTATTTTCTGGTTTATGAAGTCATAAAAAGAGATTTTTAAAATCCCTTTGGTAAAAAACTCTTTGACTCTCATATATCAACAAAATGAAACAACAACTTGGTTTATCCAGTGTTCAGATTTGAGGTCTGGAAAATTATGCAAATACACACATATTTAGAGACATAATGCATTATTAGCATATCCAAACATAACATTTCAGAAAGTAACACAACTATTGAGCTGGGGAAGTTTGATGGAACCAAGTTAAACATTAGTGAGTTAAAGAATAATTAAAACTCCGACGTGTGAGTATGCATCAGCTCTACGACTCATGTGGTGGCACGCACAAGCAGCCTGTGAGACTCAGCACACTTTAAGTGGCTGCTGGATCATTGAATGCATGTGGAATAGCCTCCCCTGACACTTTTCAGGAATTTAGAAACTTTATGAAAATAATTTTCATTGTTTGTTTTATTTCATTTTCACACAGCAGTAAAGGGGCAGGGGAGGTTTGATGAAGTGTGAATCTAGACAATGACTGAGACAATACTGAGTGTTGACTAACAAGACTGAGACTAACGCTATTATCGTTTTAAGGAGAGTGCCTAATGGAAGTGTTACATGTTCCATGTAATAATCTGAGTCACCCCAGTGAGAATGCTGGTCTTCATCTTCTCATTTCACACTTCAGTTTAAAATTCCACTATTTATTTCCTGTCTGTTTCTACTGCGCGTCGTTGTATTTTATCGACAAAGCAAGCTTTCCCTCGCAGACAGCTGGACGTCAGCTTCAAAGAAACAAAGTGACACCTAGCTTTTTGACCCAACTTCCATCATGGTTATTATAAACAGGTATAAAAATTACCCCCCCCCCACCAAAAATAAGGCTTATGACAAACTTAGATTCTACAACTTTATACATACAACTATTTATCTCATGCGTACCTGCAGCCAGGCATGGGATCTCCGCATTCCTGTCGAGCTCTCCAAAGATCTTACTTTTTGGCTGAGCGGTCAGAGAGGGCGGTTCTGCAAAGAAAAAAAAATTGTAATGACACCAAGTCATTAAACAGCTACTAACAAGCTCTCAATTTAGGCAAATAAATAAATAAAAGGCTGACAATGAAAATGTAACAGACAAATTTACAGTTTGCCCACTCCAAGTATTTATTCCTTAATAGAGGAGACTTGTAATGGAGCACCGCAGAATAAAAATGGTTCCCCTCTTGGCACTGAGTAACTTAAGTGCCAGTGGAAGGCAGGATTTTGTGTCTATATGCTCTGTGAAATGGCTTCCATACACAGCCACAAAAAAACACATTCGGGGAAGGTCCCAAGGGGCACAATCCTCCTCTTTTTTTCTTAAACAGCTCCATTTTGCTGCCAATGACTGCTCCATCCAAACATCTTCACCAGCACTGCTCTAAGTGCTGACAGCAGTGGTGAGAATAAACAAAAACCTTGAATGTAAATATATGCTTGCATATATATAATATTCTAATACATTTTACTTGCTATAAAAGAAGTTACCTACTGCTGCACAGACTCCATTTCTCATTTTTAAGCACTTGTTAATATTTACAAAGAGATGACAGCTGAGTCTGTGAGTCCACACAATGGTAGCAATTGTTCACCAGAGAATGACTGAGGAAAATGAAATGTCCAGTGTATGACTTAAATAATAAATGTGTATTTTGGCTTTTGCAACAATATACCTCTTATTGAAAAAGGAGAATTTTAATAAAAGTTTCATTTGTGTGCTTTTCCCCCCAATAGGTTTAAGGTAATAACATGCAAACAATAAGGGTTTTAAAACTCTGCTGTCCCTCTAAGACTATTGAAAATCCCCTTTTTATCCCACAATATTTTCTTTTCTTTGCATCGTATTTCCGTGGACTGCATTTTCACTTATTGCCATCACTACCATGCAGGAGTTCTGTAAACGTCAGGACTTTCCATCACGTGACACAAGTCCGTTTTTGTTTTTTACTTGATCTTTCAGTTGGCGCATGGTTACGTTTAGTCACCAGAACTACTTTTCTTATAAAAGATCACAGATCATGTTAAAGACCTTTTCACAACATTCACCATATTTTAGAACCCATGCGTCATCCTATTTTCTTTGTTACCACACTCCTAAAAAGAGAACACTTGATTTCACTGCATCTAATTCGGATGTTGCAGAGCCTTTATTGAGAGCACGCTGCATAAAAGCGCGCTGCTGAATGGAAGCTGGCGAGTTAAAATGCAGTCCCAACCTGGAGTACATGTGTGGCTGAAAGTGAGACCACCCTCACATCTAAACAGCAGACTGAAGAGAAAACACAAAGTTCTTTTTAGTTCTTCCAGGCAACTTTTAAACCCACATATGTGCATCACCTATCTTTACTATGTACTGTGCAGTTTTGCCTGATTTTTGACAAAAGAAAGAGGAAAGCGTGCAGTGAAGAGCGAACGGGAAAACAAGAGATGAATAACAGCCATATGGTGTGACGCTGATAACATAGCTGCATTATTCTCCTTCAGTCAGGTGAGTGCAAGAACCTAGATGCCAAAACACAACAAAACACATTTAAGAGTGTTTGGGTGGCTGGTTTTAGGGATTTGAGCTTTTGTGGATTCCCTGATGTCTGCCTGCAAAACAAAGACAGAAAACAACAGCAGATATATTGTTTTTTGCACCGCAAGTCGTTTGTACAGTATACAACACAAGGATGCAGTATCATACATATTCCGATTAGAGGATCGGGGCAGAAAAGAAATGAAATTGAATAATGAATGCCTTTGAGGCTGTCTCTTTCTTTCAAATAGACACATACACTATTCTGTTTAGGAATCCCTTTTATTGCATCAAGGTCTGTTGAGCCCATAGCAGAAAAAGAGGATCAGTACCAATGTATTCGTCAGTCACTTCTTTTCTGATACATATGAATGCATGCAGGCGTTTTCCCTGCCAGGCAGGCCTTAATGGTCCTGCCGGCCTAATGAGGAAAGATAACTAAGAAAAAGGAGTTTTTGGGGGGAAGACAAAGAAAAAGGATTATGAGGGGGCACAGAACGAGAATAAGTAGGGTATAAATATTCAGGCAGGTCTTCTGAATATTCTGTGGGCGTAGGTAGTCGGTGCTCTCTGCTTAGGTGCTCTTTCGCACAGACAATCACAGCAGAGTAAAAAGATGCTAAGAAACTAGAGGAGAGAAGTTTCGGCTCATCAATCACATGCTCCCTGCTCGCGTGTATGTTGTTTTCTATTACACGCACACACGCAGAAGACAGGAGTGGCTTGCTACAAGAGTGCTCTTGTTTGAGTGCTTTCAGCGTCCTCTTATTGATTCGTGACTCCAGGGAGAGGGGCTAATTGAGCTGCCGGGCAAACAGGCATATGTGGCCACGGTGCCATTTTGTGAATGTGTGTAAGCATGAAGTGCACACATGCATGTTTTTGTGAGAACACATGGGTGAGTTTGTGTGTACATGAATCCAACAGCTGTTTGTGACTACAATGGACAATTTAATGGTGAATGTGGACAACAGATTCAGCTCGAGCAGTGCTGTAGCTGACAGTCACTGCCTCGGGTGCTCACAGTCCAGCTTCCAGGAGTGAAGTAAGAATAAATGGAGGAATAAACAGTGCCCAGAGCAACAAATGTACTAGGGAAGACAAGAGCGAGGCTAAAGCAGAAATTAATCACATGTTGAGGGCATTAGTGGACCTACCCAGGACAATCATGGATAATTTTGTTAGGCAGTGTGTGTACTTGTATTACTCATGTTATGAGGACATAAATGTCTTTACACAATAACACTGTGGGGACTCGCCTCCCTTTTTGGGGCAAAAGTCCCCTAAACATAGAGTTAGGCCTAAATATTCAGTTATTTAAGTTGTACTTTCGATATAATAAATAAGAGCTTAAGGTTCAATCTTCAGTTCAAGGGGCTGAACAAAAACATTGCGTTAACTGCGGAGAAACTACAGCAATTTTCATAAACAATCCCAGAGTTTCAGGCGCTCAAATGAACTAGACAAATTAACACATTCATAAATAAAATGAACATTTTCGACACTTTGTGGAGAATCTTTCACAGACAATGACTGTCTGGCGTGTGGAACTCATGGATATCAGCGAACAATGGGCAACCTTTGTGAGGATTATCCTGGCCTCTGCTGCATCCCTCTCTTCAGTGTTGTTTGTTCTCCCTGCCATTAGTCTTTTATCAGCAAAGTGAAATGCAGCTCAAGTGAGCTGAAATCAGTGCAAAATAATTTGCTTCCTGACCTAAAAACAAATAACGCTGGTTTGCTTTTACAGTATGCTGTGCCTCACTTTTCAAAGCACCGTCTAATACATATGAATGTAATCTCTACACAGTTCATCAGACTTCTAACATGTCTCAGTGACACTGGGAACATGCGTTCGTGTGCATCACACAGATAATTTCACATGCTTCAAATTACAAAGTGGAAATTATTCTTCACCGTGGAAAGGATTCTGTGATCATCCACCACAGGCATCGTCTGTGGATGTCCGGTCATTTTACTTCAACAGTGTGTTTTTTGCTTCTAGGAATATACCGGACTGTTTGTGAAAATTTGGAAAGTCCTGCTGTTTCTGCTCTTTTGGATGGGTTTATTTTCTTTTTATGAATGGCCTGTCTCACTTACATTTAGAATTCATTATGGGTTCACAGAAAAAGCTTCCAAATGCAATGCAAAATCTCCTTACTAATATGACAAAATAATGCATTTCCATGAAGCATCTTTTGAGTCTAATTACACTTAAGCCCCTGAAAATAGGGGACTGTGTATACAATTGTCATTATCCCTCAACAGTTAATGCAGTATTTCAGTTCAATCCTTGGAATTAAAGCTGAGTTTTCACACTAAATCAAATTTGTCAAATTCATCGACTGCAACCTGACTATGTCATTTACAAACAGCTTTAAAAAATGTCAAACATATATGGAACTAATGGTAAATAACACAATCAACTCAACCCAACTTGTTTTTCGATTTAGGATAAGTGACGAGGATATGAATGTAAGTCAGTGTAATGTCATTTGAAGTGAAATGATGGAAATCTGAATGCGAGTGTGTCTGTGGGTGACTAAGTGACTGCTTTTTTCTTCTTACCCATTACAGTGAGGTGCGCTTTTGTCTCCACGGGTTTGGCAGTGCTGTTGCTAAACGACGCTTCACAAACATATAAGCCTGTGTCAGAAGAGGTGGGGGCAGGAATAATGAGCCGTTGCCCACTGGAAAGCCGACGCCCATCACGCTTCCACGACACCAGAAGGCGGTCCACTGGTCTAAGAGGAGAAGAGAAAGGAGGAGAGGAGAGGAGAGGAGAAAAAGAATGAGCAGAACTGGGTGGCAGAAGGCAATTACAACATATTAAATCCATCAGTTTATTTGTCAATGAGGCAGGAAATGAATGATGACAGTCTATATCAGAGCAGTCAGCTCTACTCAGCATGAAGGAGCTTCAGTCAGTTACTCTAAATGTTGGGAAAGGAAATGGGTTTTCGTGTAAAATGAAATTTTGTTTTGGATAAACAACACGGAAAAAAAAACATTCTTTTGTGCATGTGCATTTATGCAAGACAGCAATGTAGCAGCATATTCTCAAGTCATAATAGTGCAGCTCATTTTTTCCCTTTTTCCAACAATATATTTCTTATCTTGTGCAGTGAACATGGACCCGATTTAGCATGACAACAGCTACTAATGTAATCAGCATCTGGAACTGTTCTTAAAATGCATTTTGCGAAGGACCGCTCAAAAGCTCAGGTAGGAGACAGGAAGCTATGAATTTCAACCAAAATGTAGTGATGCAAATATAAACACAAATACTCATTAACAAAATCAGATGAAAAACCATAGCTGCATTTGAACAACAAGATAGATGATGTTAGTGTCCAGTTTCTTCACTGTAACATTCACAATTAGTACATTTTACAAGTAGTACAGCAGGAATCATGACACAAACAACAGGAGCAGAAATTAAAGAGACAACAACGACAACAAAACGATTCATAAGCAAAGCTGGGTGTAAAATACATCTGCAGAATACTTTATATTAGAGATCATTAGCATTACAATGTTAGTATTAATGTTTATTGGATTTTTCCAACATTTCTTTGCCTTTTTTATTCTACTAGCAGTCATACTGTTGGTGGCAGTAGATGACACTAACAAAGAACTTTATTAACAAGTCACAAAGTGAATGAAAAGAAGGCCAGTAAGTCAACCATGTTTGCATTCAATGCCTGGATGAATTTGAGACACAGTCTGAAGAGGTTAACGAACCAGAGGTTAACCAGAAGAACTTGTAGTATAGAGCAGCGGTCCCCAACCTTTTTTGCGCCACGGACCGGTTCATGCCCGACAATATTTTCACGGACCGGCCTTTAAGGTGTCGCGGATAAATACAACAAACTAAAACTAGTACTGGTACTGAAAAAAAGAAGATTTATTCATAACACACGTGAAAAGACCCAGGAAAACCGAGTTAACGATCAAAACGATAACAAAATAACGCTGAAAACCGATAAAAACCCTGAAAACCATACATTTCACACCTGAGCCTCAACTCTCGCGGCCCGGTACCAAACGACTCACGGACCGGTACCGGACTGAGGCCCGGGGGTTGGGGACCGCTGGTATAGAGAACAAATGTAGTGCTCGACCGACACATTTCGGCTCACAGCCTTCATCAGGGTCATCACGCATAATGGCTGCATCTGTTCAGACAACTTTTTTCTCCAAGCACCTTGGAAGTAAGTGAAGTTGTGCCAAAAACCTTTACTTGGTTTGAATTTGAGGTACACAAATCGCTTCTGCCATATGCAGCGATAGACTGTTTTGGACAGAAATCCACTCATTTGGTCGATGACATGGTCATATAAAACTCGTAGCAAAGTTTTTCTGGTGGAATCTGTTATTTTAGATGCCGTCCAAGTGTAAATAAAACACAACGAGCACTTTTTGTCAATCACATTCCAAATGTGAAGTGAAGACAAACCTGAATTTAAAGGCACCTAACCAGCAGATATGGAAAACATTTGAATATTTGCCGACTCAGTGGTTTCTGTCCCTTATAAAGAGTGAAAAGCAGATTTTAAAACTCTTCCTATTAGGTCTGCTGGGACTGGGCTTCCAATCAGCTTCTAATCATTTCAGCACTTTAGCAGGACAGCGCTATAACTCACTGATGATTAATGGAGGTGGATAGCCAATGCTTTTAGAATTTAGCACTACTTTAGATTTCATTGCTCAAACTCCTATTTCTCCCAGATATTGTATAGTATAGTTTCTCTCTTTCAGTTGTTTCCTGGGTACAAGTCTATCTCTCTGGTGTGAGAATTTCAGTGGGTACATCTCTGATAGCAGAAATAGTCACTAGGCTTTCTCTACGTTTTCAGAGCAGGCAATAAAACAAAACGAAGAAAACAAAAACCTCAAAACACACTTATTAGTGTTGAATTAAATATCACTTTTCTAATAGCTTATTAGACTGAGATGGTTCCTCTGCTGTTTTGTAAAAGCTACTGTAGCTACATTCCAGGTATCCATTATGTGTAATAGTCACTTGATTTTTTTATACCTTGAGTGCTACCCAGTGGTCAAGTGCCGGTCAAGTGCAGCAGAAAAACATTTAAAGGGGCTCTCACAAAACAGAGCAGCCAGCCTAGGTCAGACTTAATAACAAAATCTGACAAAACCCTTGTACAAACAGAACAAAAGTAGGGAAAAAATATCACCTGTTGAGTCCAGAAAACTCATCATTCTGACTGGCTGTGCTCTTATCTGGTCATTATAGCCTCAGTGGCACTTTTCTTTTTTTCCTATTAATGTTGGACTCATAGGAAAACCTGCTTCTGAGTGAATATAACAGAAGATTATAATATAAGCATAAAAATACATTCTCATCACATATTCCAGGAGGAAAATATGACTACCTAGATTCACTTAATAATTCTTTAAGCAATTTAAACTAACTGAATTGATGCTTTGCACTTAAAGAACTGACATAAATGATGTATTCCATGCCTATGAGTTCAGTGTTTGTATTGTAATACCTACTCTGAACTTCTTAAATACTGTCCCTGACAAATATTACCCATAATACAATACAATTAAAAAAAAGAAACTAATCAAAACTAAACTAAAATAATGGCTAGGATAATCAGTCGTTCAGGTAATTATTGTAAGCTGTGTGAGCTGGGTGACCCAATGTGAGTAATTTAAGTGAGAGGGGAACATTTGCTGAGCTACAAGTTTCCGAGGTGTCCTCTAAGTGACCTGGAAGAAAACAGTTTAGCAAAAGAAACCGTTCACCCTCTGCAGGCATGTTTGTATGTGCACGTCTGTATGCATGTATAAGGAGTTTACCTAGCATTAGCAATGCACTCCAGTATTGCTTCATTTCCAGCCACCACTGTTGTGTCTTTTGGGCCAATCACGATAGCTGGAACCACTGGTTCTGACTCGGGATCTGCAACAGAAAGAGAAAAAAAAACGAGAGGCGGGTTAGCTCATAAACCGTAGACAGCAGCATGATCTCAAACACAGATCTCAATGGTCTTCCACATACGCACACCGCTACACTCTGACACTGTCCACTCAGTGTCGTACTATACCCTACTTTGTGTAGCAAACATGACTACACAAAGCTAGTCATCACAGTTTCCACAGTTTTAGTTCACATGATTGTGAAAACTAAGCACAGCCCACGATTCAGTAGTTTGCAGAACCACCAAGTAATAACTTTGTGTATGAGATTGTCAGCCTCTCACGTTACTCTGGAGGAATTTTCTGTGCCTGGCATCATTGTCCTGTTTGACGCAATTTTGTCTAAATTCAATGCAGTTTCGTTTACATTCTGTTAAAAAGCATAGTTTACACTGGCTGAATCAATACAGAGAAAGCACAGATGCTGCATCGTCTGGATGAGCAGAAAGAGTGACTGCATCATACCCACTGCGCAACATCTCCAACTGGACAGTGTCTGCTCATAATGAAGACAGTAACAGAGATTGAATGAATGGCAATGAAATTTGAGGTGTGAGAATATAGATGTGACTGAGAAAAGACTAAAAGTTCTGATAATACTTTCTTTCGGTTTCTAAACAACTGTGTCCTCTTATCTCAAACATATTTTCAGTCATACACACACAGTGTAACCCGCTCTTATAAACAACAGCATTCTTTCTGTCTGAACCACACTATCCAGTATATAATGATGTATTGGAGATAGCATGGCAATGTGTCTGAGTTACAATTATACTTCTCAGAAAAAAGAAGTACACTAGTGTGAGTATATGAAGAATGATTTATTGCCCAAATGGTATGTGGGAGACTGTGGTGTACGTGCAAGATTATGATTTTGTGTGTGTGCGAGAAAGTATGATTTATGGCCTGAATGGCCTCTCATAAAAAGAGAATGCCTTAGAATTGTTATCAGTTTGAAAAGTATAACATTTGTTCAGAATACAGCAAAAAAACCAGACAAACAGAAAAACTTATGTCAGTGTTTTAAAGATTTTGTGAAGTCTATACGTTACTGTTATGGCTCTGTAAGAGTGTGTGTGTGTGTGTGTGTGTGTGTGTGTGTGTGTGTGTGTGTGTGTGTGTG